CATTCCTCTTGAACACAGTGTAATCTATCTAATCTAAAGCAAAGTTTGTGTTTTTATTACAATATTAATGTAAAAGTTTCAGGAAACATCTCCTCTAGCCTTTGCCTTCCTATTTAAATTGTCAACCTATATCATACTTCCTTTTTTTCTCATTAATGGTTAGAATTCTGATTGTCTTATCTGCTTTATAAATTGAGTTAGATGTATAGCTAATTAACTTGGTCTCTTGAAAGCAGCTGCTCCCTACCATATTTTTCAGAAGATCTCTAAAATTCCTAACATCAAGAATTCACAAATTTAGATTAATCAGTTGCCAACCAGCAGATATGATGTTGGCATCTCACATAATGCTAATCATCTGCTATGTTCTTTATAGTTCTCAAGATTTATGTATATGTATGTAGTTTCTTTCTAATTCCAAATCTGTTACAGGGAATGACTATACTGATAGCTTAAAGATGTATAAATATGCTAAAGATAATACCATTTTCAAAAGCCAGAATATTTGGAATTCCCTGAATTTATCAAGTCCTCAAAGAAAATTGTGGAACTAATCAATCTGGCTGTCTTTCTAAGACAAAAACAAAATCAAAAGAGCAATTTCTAACACCAGTGTTATAAGTAGTTGTGTTTTGGGAGTTATAGAAGTTATTTAGAGATCCTTCACAACCTGGAATTAACCATTAACCATTATATTGTTAGAATCTGATCTCAAATATAAACTGTAAGTCTAAAGCCATTATTTATAAAGATTTTTGGTTGTCTATGCCTTTAAAATTTGTTAGAATTACCTCAAAACCATTGCTCAAAGAATATCATGTTTCTAACAGCATGTTACATATCACAATGGTTATTTTGCTATTTCTGTTTCTACTAGACAGTATACAGTCTGAATTATTTGAACTGGTGCTTTGCTCTATCTTTAAGAGACTTATATCACATCATATGAAAGGCAAAGAATGTAGTAATTAAATCCCAAAAAGTCACCTATGTGACCTTGAAAACTCACCTGAATTTCCAGGCCTCTTTATTTCTTTATAGTCTTAAAAAAATGTATTGTTAATTTCTCAAGTTCCTTTAGACTTCATAATTTTATGAGTGAGGAGAAACTTAGAAAGTAGACCTGACCATAGGTGCATTGTATCCATATTCAAACTTCAAATTTTATAAAATCTGCTTTCTAACCACATATTATGACTGCTCACCTGGAATCTATACCAGATTGCTTGTGTGGCCTCTGAGCACCACTGAACAATACAATTGAGGAATAGAAGCCAGTGTATTGATCCTGTGTAAGTATGAAAATGGGTGTGCACATACACTGTGGTACCTGCTTCTAAGACAAATTAAGGAAGCTCTGAGAATTATGACTGTTAGCTGATCTAGACTTGGGAGTTCTGAATTTAAAGAATAGTCAATACCTCAAGGATGTGGGGCGGGTTGGGTCTAAGGGGAAAAGGAAAGTCAAGGAAGACTTCAGGTGTATATCTTGAGGCACCCACCTGAAGTGGGTTATTTTAAGGGTTAAATAGTGTCATTTTCCTAAGAATAATGAAATTCTATACAAAATTTTCAGATAGTGAAGTGATGTGACCAATTTTTCCTTTCTTTAATTATTACTTTGGTTCCTCTGTGGCAAATGTGTCGAAGGGCAAGAAGAAACTTTTGGAATCTTGCTCATGAATGCATAGCACTTTTCTTTTAAAGTCCTACTCCATTTTTACCCAGAATTGGCAATTTCCCTAATGTTCTTTCTTCAAAAACCCTCTCAAAAATTTCTCCATTGTATCTTTATCCTATTCCTTCCTTGTAAATTTTCTCTTTCCACCAGCAGCTCTCTGCCTTTCATGAAAACACAATGCTTCCTCCAACTTAGTAAATAAATCAAAAGAACAAAGTGGAGCAGGAAATATGTACAGTCCCACAGAACCCCTCAGAAGAGTCCCATGTTTTATTCAATAATGTCATTACCACCTTGATATTATTTTTTAATAGTGGCCCCACATTTTCACTTAGCATTTCCCCCAAACTACCCACTTTAGAGTAATGAAAAATTATTTTGGTTGTACTGGAACAGAGGTGAGTGATACTCAATTTGTTCTAGTCTCTTACAGTTCTTTTGTGTCCAAAGCTCTGCCCTCTGCTCTTCATTTTCAGGATTACCATTGTAATTCAATTTATCATTGTCTTTTGCTGATACTACAGAAATAACTAATATTTGGGAAAATAAATTTTAAAACAAGAAATTTCTAGTGATAGAGATATTATACCAAGATGAGTGTCAAATCATGAAGAACATAAAATAATATAAACAACATATGCTCCTAATGGTAGATTCCCAAAATAAAGGAAACAACTGCCAAAATTGAGGACAGAAGTATACAATTCAGTAACAGTACTTGGAAACTTGAATACCCTTCTTTCAATAGTGGATATGAAAACTATGTGTAATACACATTTAAAAAGAACTCACATAACCAAAAATACACATGGAACATTTTCCAGGGTAGACCATAATCTGGTCATAGAACAAGCTTTAATAAACTCTCATATGTTTATATAAAGTATGTTGTCTGACCACATGAAATAAAATTATAAATCATTAATAAAATCAGGAAAATTCACAAATAGAAGGCAAATAAACAAGATAGTCCCTAAATAACTAATGTGTCAAAGAATAAATGACAAAAGGAATTAGAAATATTTTGAGATAAATAAAAACAAAGCTACAACATACCAAAACTTGTGATATAGATAAAACTGTTTAGCAGGGATTTCAGTGATCTTAATTTGCATTCTTTAAATAATGGTAACAGACTTCCCAAGACTCACAGGACCTGAGTTCTCCACATCAAGGTGATACTTATTGGAAGAGGCATCCTCTGGGCAAATTGAGAAAAGCCTGATATTTTTAGGGAAACCTACCCCACACCATGAAGACTATTTCAAATTAAAATTGATCTTTTTCCAGGCATTTTCAGTGGAAAAAGACAGGGACTAAGTTTTTTTTTTTTTTTTTTTTTTTTTAAAGAAAGAATTTTGTGCTTTCAGTGATACTAGCAATTCAAATACTGAAGTTTTTTGCTTAAACTTGATTTTACATCTCTGTTCACCTTGCTCTCTACTGAAAAAACACAAATTTCACTGATACCAATATAATTACACATTTGCTTTAAATCATAATCTATAAACCATAGTCTTAAAATAACTACAGGATACTAAAAACAACTTAATGTTCTATCATAGGCTTGCATATTGTAGAATCAAATTGTGATTTATTAGGTTGATTGAAAATTTTCCTTTCTGTGGGGCTATGGTAACAACTCATTAAACAAAGTGCAAAGTTTATATTTGCATTAGTTTTCTTTCAATTTCAGGGATTTGTAAATCAGTGTGTATCATTGTTACATAAATATATAAATTATTCCAATGTTAAATATACAAAACAAAGAATAAAAAACAAGTACGTTTAGAGACTTCTGGATTAGAGACTTCACTGTTCTCCCCCTTTCTGCTTCTATGCCAACTTTAAAGAAAAATATGGTTTCCACTTGCATTTATGTAAGTCCTCTTTCATGAATGTTAGCATAGTATAAGACTTGTCACTAGTTCGAGTAGGTAGAGATATTTTCATTACTTATTACAGATGCATGTTACTCTCATTTAGATACAATATAATCAGCTAACCATGAATTGGATATTTTTACTGTAAATCCCCATTTTTTTAATTCACAAATACTCCAGTGACTAGCCCTGTGCTTATGTCTTGTATTTTTCCAGCAAGTTATGAAAAAAGATTCCTAGTCAAGAGATTGCTAGGTTAAATGGTAAGTGCTCACTTAATTTTGCTAGATGTTGTCAAATTCCACTCCAACTCTGATTTTCTATAAGCAATGCATGAGAGTACTTGTTTCCTTCACAGATTTATCAGAAGAATATTGTTATAAACATAGTTTTGCTAATTTGATAGTATTTCTCTTATTAACCTTGTTATAAGAAATTCACCCACGTATTTCCCCCTAATATACATATGGTTATATGTTACACTTTTAAATCTCAGACTCAGTTCAAGTTCACTCTAGTATACAAACTTAAACAATTCCTAAAATCTTAAGCATGCACCAGTACAGGTCCAGTCTGGCTTCAGTGCACCACTCACACTGCTGGAGCATATCACTGCTGTTGACAACTACTGGCTGGAAAGTCACGGTTGTTTCCAATGTTGTTTTGGGGCAGAATGTTGTTCCAAATATTGTTTTAGTTTGTATGTTCTTAGCTGTAATTACTGTGTATGTTTCATCAAGTCAGTGAAATTCCTGGTGCCTCAAAATTTCCAATTTAAAAAACTCTTTGAACAATGAGAAAATGTATCATTATCCTTGATGAATGGCATATTACTGTTTTGGGGCAGAATGCATCACGATTTGGTAAAAAATTGCTATTCTAACTGACACTTTTGAGTATAAAAGAGCAATCATTACAAGGGATCAGAAAAATATAAAAAGCAAAACTAGTGGGAAAACTATAAATCTGAGACCTATGGCAGGGAAGGGGAAGGGAGAAGGGTCCCAACAGGGTAGGTAAGAACACAAGAGACAATGGTGATGCTTCACTGGCCATGTGGTGGTGTTAATTTTATGGGGATTACACCTGAGGGCAGAAAGCAAACAAGGTACAAATATATATATGCATGTATATATATATATATATATATATATATATATATATATGTGTGTGTGTGTGTGTGTGTGTGTGTGTGTGTGTGTATAAATATAAATACCCAGCAATCATTTAGCTAAGTAACAGTGCTACTCCTTTCAGAAACAGCAGCATTATAGGAAACTGTCCTTGTAAGGAAACGGATATTATCTATTAAATGGTCCTGCTTTTAGCAGATCGGCACTCACTTATAACAGTATATTCATTTTCTTCTCTTAACTTTAAAGAATTTAGTACCCCCAAATGGACATAAAAGAATCACAATCTGTGAAAAGACTCACCGCTACTGGAAGCGTCATTCAGATTTAGCAGTCCCCCTCCCAGGCCTCGGTAACTGTGGTAGCTGTAGGTTCCGTTTCCATTGATGTACAACACCTCCTGGGACCCTGACATGGCTGAGGTTGAGTAAGCGCCCTGGGCCGCCTCTGGTTTACACTGCTTGTCGGCTGGTGCAGAGTCATCCTGCAATGAAAACATCGTGCCGCTCATCATCACAATACTGTGTCATGTCACCTTGACCAGGACTGTCTTATTGTTATCTACATTTCTTCACTGAATACAAAATAACATACAGTCAACATTAAATCTGCCAATACATTTTCAACAACTTAGCTAAAACCTGAGAAAAGGAAAACAAAGTAACAATATGAGGCAGGTTGGAGATGAGGTGACTATAATTTCCAATGGAATTTAAAATTACATGAAGATAGTTATTCACAATAGCCAAGACGTGGAAGCAGCCTAAATATCTATCAATAAAGAAAATATGATATGTAAGTATAATATTATTCAGCTTTAAGAGGAAAGTTCTGTGATATCCTGTAACATGGGTGAATCTTGAGGACAGAATGCTAAAGGAAAAAAAAAAGCAATCACAGTAAGACAAATGTTGATGATTCTATTTATTCAAGGTATTTAAAGTTAAACCTGTTTACATATAGGAACAGAAAGTGGAGTGGTCACCAAGAACTGAGGTAGCAGGGGTAAGGTTCAGTCACACAGGATGGGGGAAGGGTTTAGGGAACATATAGACAGCATGTAGTTGACAGTATTTTTCTGTACACGTGGAAATTACTGAGAGAGTGGATTTTATAACCCGGTTTTAAAATTTACATGAAGAGAAATTATAATTTTCAAAAAAAAATTGCAAAATTTGGCTTTCTTGAATTTTTTTGCTGCCTACTCTTCCTCCTTCCTTCCACTTCTGCCTCCTTTTCTCTGTCTTTTATAATATTTGTAGCAAATTTTATGTACTGCTAACTCTATCTAAGGCCCATTACATGCATCAGAATAGACAAAAATCTGAATAAACCCAGGCCTCTCAGCATGTATTTTTCATGAAGCTGAACTAATATCTAAAAATGTGTTTCAAAACTTCTAAGCATGTCAAGTTGTGAGTACAGTGAAATTAAAATTTGCAACATGTAATATTTTCAGTAATAAAACAGATTGAATTTCCTTTCAGCTGTGAGATTATAAGGTATATACAACATATTTTATTCACATGCTTTTTAAACTTTCCTTCTTTTTTAAAATAAGACACAAACATTAATAGATTTCTAATGAATTCTTACAAATGTTTTTGTGATGATCAGAGTGCATGGTTAGGGAAACACATAGCTTCCCAATACAATTTTTTCGTGACATCAAGTACTAGAAAATGAGAAGATATAGAACAAGTTTCTCTATGGAGAAATATTCTCCATAGTATTGTTATATTCAGATATATTCTAATCTTTCACATAGTAAAAGCACTGCCTTAACTATTAGAATTATGGAGTTATGAAGTTGTTAAATTTCCTCTGATCTTTTCAACTCTGATCCATTCGATTTTGACCTTTATACTCAGTTGTGGACCTTAGACCCATGATCTATGATCTTTTCATCTTTTTATTTCTATATGACTAAGATTATTTAAAAAAAAAAAAACACAGTAAAATTACCCAAAGTCAATTGAATTAAAATGAAGCAAGCAGGGTCTTCCTGGTGGCGCAGGGGTTAAAATCTCCACACTATCAAGCATTGCCAGCCATTGCATGAGTTTGATCCCTGGCCAGGTATCTAATCCACATGGCACAGCAGACCTCTCCTTTCTCTCCCGCTGCTCCCCTCAGCAGTGTATTTCAGTGGATCCACCTGTCCTGCTCCCTATTCTGTCACTGGTGAATCCTCTCACTCCCTACATCTCTGGCCTACATCCCAGTTCTTATATTCATAAATAAAAATAAATCTTTTTTAAAAAAATTAAGAAAGCAAATTGAAAGGAAAACTGTAAAACATCAAAAAAAAACCCACTGAAGTTTAATGTAAATTTTCCTTTCATTACCTTAAAAAAAAGATTCATAGGGAATGTAGGTAGTAGAAACATGAACTGGGCTAAATTGGTGTATGAACTTGAATGTCTGGTTGTAATTCCCCTTGCCACTTACACCTTAGAAATTCCTGGGATGCTGAATTATCCTAGAATGACACTTTTTTATGGGAGAAACTACATTATAGAAGTAACTCAGAATTAAATTTTGTTAGTGTCTCTGACTCTACTACTTCAACCAGGCAGTCAGCCAGTTCCAGATTTTTTTTTTTTCATTCTGAAAATAACTCTGCTGCTATAAAGGATATAAGGATGGTGGGCTTTAGACCAAAGCTCTATATAAATGAGGATATTGGGTCTTCACCAAATTTACCACCGCTAATGGGGACTTTAAATCATAACATAACAATTGATGTGTATTCTTTTGTACTATGATGAAATTTTTATACTACAGAGAGTAAGGGAGTTTAAATCATCTAAAGATGATATATTTAGGAATCTTTGGTTGCTGGAAATATGTTTCATAATAAGTAGGTCTACGGTAAATAAACAAGTATTGTGCTACTCTGAATAAAAATATTAATAAAGTACTATTAATGGAATAAAAACATAGCACTTACTGGAGCCTCAGAATCTGTAACTGACCTTTCTGTGGCCTTTTACAGTGACTAGATGAGTGGAAAATGATTAAACCAATGGTGACTACAACTCATAAGTATACAAAAGTCTTTTATAATGTACAATGGTATAGTCTCTCATCAAAGAGTGTCAACTTCCTCCTTGTCTAGGGACAGAGGTGATCATACTCATATATATATACTGGAATGAATATATAGAATGTATATATACATATACAGTTGTATATACACTTTTATAGTAAATGTGCAGCTGGCTCGCCATGCTGGTTCCATCACAAATTCAGTCAACCATGAATAAAAAATACAATATATATACTATGTAGTTAGGCTACATGGTTGTGTCTATACCAAACATGTACAAACTTTTCTCTTGTCATTATTCCCTAAACAATATATATATTATCAACTACTTAAATAATACTTATATTGAATTAATTATAATCCAAACATTATTTAAAATATATGAGGGGATCTGTGCAGATTCTATGCAAATAGGCCATTTTATAGACGGGACTTAAGCATCTTCAGATTTTGGTATCTGTGGCAAATTGTGGAGCTAATTCCTCATAGATATCAAGGGATGGCTGTATATTCAAATTTATATCCTCCATACTACTATCTATATATATGTCATACATTCATTCAGTTTATTAAGTGAGGGAAATTTAGCAAAAGATAGGTTATTTGAGATGTTTATATGGATTAATTATTTTCATGCACACAACTTCTATTTTCTCTGAAAGCAGAAGATGTCAAACTGCACTCCATGGAACTGTAAAAATTCTGGGGGAAATGTCTCAGAGTCTTCCTGAGATTATGGAGTGAGGATATACAGATATGCTTTTACACTCCACCCTTCCCTTTACTTGGACTGGCAGCTCTGGTTTGCTCTACTCTATATTCATAAAATTATCTCTTCTAAAGCATAAAAAACACTGGGCTTTGACATATTTTCTGTAAAGACATTTAGCTATTAAAACTCTTAAAGATGGCCTCCCCGGTGGCGCAGCGGTTGAGCACTGGGTTGTGAATCTCCCTGTAGCCTCTGCAGCGCAGGTTCAATCCCCGGCAGCCAGGCGAGGGTCCCACATGGCATGCAGACCTCTCCTGCTGCCCGCTGCTCCCCTCAGCAGTGTACTTCTTCGGTCTGTCTGTTCTGTTCCCCGCTCTGGCTTTGGTGAATTTTCTTACCCTCCCGTGCTTCTGACTGTACCCAGTGCTTATATAAATTAATAAATCTTTTTAAAAAAACCCTCTAAAATAAGGCAGAATATGTTACACTTTAAAGCAATTTCGAGATCTTGGGAGGGGCTGACCTCAGACAATTTCACCATTAGTACAATGTTTCTTGACTGAAACTGAATTGGGCAACATACTAAAATTTGAGTTTCTAATTTGGGTAAACTTGTAGCTCTTTTTTTTTTTAAATATTTATTCATTTTTGCATACAAGTGCAGGCCAGGGGTGAGGGGGCGGGGTGTGTGAGGGGATTCACCAGAGACAGAGTTGGGAGCAGAACAGTCAGACTGACTGAAATACACTACTGAGGGGAGCAGTGGGCAAGACAGGAGAAGTCGGCTGCACCATATGGTTCACCTTCGTAGCTGGGGATTGAATTCATGCTGCAGTGGCTGTGGACAGCTTCATAGTGCTGACACTTAACACTTTGCACCCCCAGGAGGCCCCAATTTGTAGCTCTTCTGAAACATACCAGTCTACATTTCTGTGTTTGGAAATAAAATATACTCAGAGGAGAAAAGTTTTTTAATGATAAGTAAAAAGGGAGAAGGGAAGAGGCATTATCGCCACAATATTTTCTCTCTGATTCATTGTATGATAGAATTCATATTATTAAACATGCTATTTTTAAAATTTGCCTCAGTCTTTCATTATTAACTATTATTCCAAACCACAGTAACTGTACTGTGCAGGCAGATAATTAATTCCATTAATAAACAAAACAGGCCTTGTAGGGAGTCATTCGTATTCAACACAGATTTACATTCTTAATGTTCTTGGCAGTCCACTATATAGGAAGAAATACAACATATTAAAGTCCCAATAATCTCTATTTTTTGTGTCTTCAGTGTAGAAGTTTAGTATAAATTTAGTTCATATTTAATTATTGAATGATTACTATTTGTTTCTAAGAAGCATAGATTTTAATGATGTAAAAAATAAATATTCCCTAAAGTCACATTTTAATTTCTCCAGACAACTTTTAATAATCATTAATTCCCAAAGTTCTCAAATCTGACAGCTTACCCCTTGGCTGCTATTAAGTTTATTTTCAAAAAAGGTAATTACTATTATAGGATAATATAGGCAACGAAATACATTTTGTTAATCAAATCATGAAAAAAAATTCTATCCCAGTGTCCATGACACATCAGATTTTCTTTTAAAAAATTCATAATAATGAAATGACATCAAGAATTGAATGACCATCAATGTTACTTGCCATAATGAAAGTTATTTTGATTTAAATTTCTTTGATGACATATGAAAGAAAC